CCTCCTCCGGCACTTCCCCAACCAATGCAAACTCTTCAGGAATCCCCCCCCCCCCCCCCCCCCAGAGCTCAACTGGAACTCAACGGGAACTCCGCGAGAACTTAAAAGTCATCATCTTAATGGCTCGCTGGCATCACCTCTCAACCACTACTTCTGGCAAAAATGCCATGCGTCATCCCGACTCGGCTGTGGCCCTCAACATACTCCTGCCCAGTTTTGGATTAAGCTGCTAACTAGTTGTTTGAACAAACAGGTGTTTCTAGTTTCTGTGCCAGTGTGTTCTTGAAGTTTTTTTCTTGTTTTTGTAAGGAGTATGGTGAAGGAAATTGGGGTCTAAGGGTGTTGTGTAAGCCAGCGTGTGTCAGATTGGTTTCTTCCTGGTCTTCTGTCTATCTTGTGCAGTGCTGCAGTCTGGCTGGGCACAAATCACGAGCCACTCAAGCAGGAACAAACTTTATTTCCGAACTCATGCGAACGCCACCCACGCAGCCCTTCCAGGAACACCACACACCAACTGGAACTCCCTTCACTGGAACCTCACCAACCAATGCGAACTCCCCAGGAATCTCCGCAAGAACAACACCAAATGGACCTCAGGGGTCTATATGCAATTGAATACCCAGCCTGTTTCAATCCACCATCATCATAATGGCTCGCCTCTCAACCATTACTTCTGGCAAAATGCCAGGGGCCATTCCAACTCCGTTGTGGCTCTCAACAGTGCAGCTCTCCTCACACTCTGCAGGCCAGTCCCTTCCTCTGCTCACCTTTAGGGCAATGAATGAGAAACTGTTGCTCTAAGTGCCTTTGGTGAGCAAAGATGTCCTGTTGCCAGGCACACGGAGGCGAGGCCCTGAGCGTCTCATGGGGCTCAAGTGACTGTTGGGCCTCCACTAATGTTTTAAGCGTCAGAGAATTTTTGTAATTGACTTAGAGCTTACTTATTTACTCAGAAATGTTTTGTTTGAATCAGAAATGTTGTCAGTGCCTCACCAGGACCCTGAATGTCCTTGCCCCACTACTATATCCCAAAATAGGAAATGACTGAGTAGGCGCCAGCCCAATGACTCTCCCCCTTCTTTCTTCCTGTGGTGCATAGGATGTTGTCTTTGCACATTAAGAACAAAATGAGAAACCAGTTGGGAACTAGTTTAGCTGGTGAAGCAGATGGTCTACAGCAGATCCTTATCCGTGCGGACATATTCCAAGACCCCAGTGAATGCTGAGACCCTGGGTAGCACCGAGCTGTAGCTGTAGTGTGTCTTTTCCTTTGTCCATATGTCTGTGTTGAGGATTGATTTATAAATCAGGTGTAATAAGATGTTAACAAGAGCAACTAGTGTGTTAGTCAGCCTTTCATTTCTGTGATCATAAGACCCAACAAGAACAACCTGGAGAAGGACAAATTTATTTTGGCTTATGATTTCAGAGGTCTCAGTCCACCCTCAGCTAGCTCCATTGCTCTGGGCCAGAGGTGAGGCCGAACATCATGGCAGAAGGGTGTGGAGGAGGAAAACTGCTCAGCTTGGAAGGGTGGGGGAAGAAGCTAGGGGCCAGATGATTCCCAAGGGCAGGTCCTCAGTGACCTACTTTCCCAGCCACACCCCACTTGCTTACAGTTACCACCCAGTAACCCATTCAAATTATTAATCCATCAAACGGTGAGGTTACAGCTCTTGTAATCTAATCATTTCACCTGGGTTCCCAAGTGGCTTCTCATAACAACTAATAATAAAATAGAATACTTAGAGTAGTTTATTACAATAAAAGTTATAGGCATGTTGCCCCCCCCCACCCCCTCAATTTTTAAAATTTTAATCTTTCACTTAAAGGAAGCATCTCATTTCTTTTCTTTGATACATCTGAATTGCCAGCATGTCTCCCGTTGTGTTCTGAGGCTGCTGTGTAGTAAAACAAGGGTTCCTTGAACACAAGCACAGCAGTGCTGAGAGTTGATCTGATGCCCAGAACAGCTACTAAATGACTAATGGGTGGGTAACATATACCAGGTGGATAACATCCTGATTCACAGGATGGAGATTTCATCATGCTGCTCAGAATAGTCAGCAGTGCATAACTCATGATCAATTTCTGGAATTTTCCACATACTATATCTGACTGCAATTGACCTCGGGTAATGGAAACTGCAGATAATGGGATCACTTGTGTTTTGAATATTTGAGAACCTGAGCCATGAAGGTGGTTTTCTCTGTGGAGGCCTGTGAGGACCGTGAATAAAGCCAGCACTTTCTCAGGAAGCAGCTTGGCACCTGCTCCAGGGCTTGGCTCGGTGCCTTGCTGGGACCTGGTAGTTCCATGTTACGGGGTGGGGGGTGGGGGAGTGGGGGGGCGTGGAGGCACTCCCATGGCTTGAGACTGGCAGACAGGCGGGTGCTAGTGGTCGTCCACATTGACTGCAGCAAGATTGGGAAAGATTTCCATGAAATTTCCATTTTAGGTATTTAGGTAGCTTATCCTCAAAGGTTGAGTTTACTGTAAAATAAGTGATCAGCTCCATGGAGTTATTGACACTAATCACTTAAGTATTGGAAGACAACTAAGAAATGTAGTCACTGTTATTTTCTCTGAATTTCAGCCCCTTCTGGCAGTGGGCCAAGGGACCACTTATCTCTTCATAGTGAGAAGACCCTGATTTGGTTCTGTGGGAAGATGCTGTTCTCATGTCTTGCCGGCAGTGCGGCAGCTCCTGTGCAAAGGGAGTGCTGGGGGAGGAAGGACAAAGGTGCTTCCTTTTCCCACAGAACTTCAGTATCCTGCTGGACTGTGGAAGCATACCTGAATGTGACCAAGGGCATCCTTGTTCTTAGCAGCCCAGTGTTGTTACAATCAAGGGCAACGATCTCCCTGCCATCCTGTTGTAATTTTTAGTAGCATTGTTCTAGAAATTCTGAACAACACGGTGAGACTTAAAACAGAATGACGAATGACCTGTTGGCATGAGGCAGAGCCCTCACTATTCGCTTCCAAACCTAAAGAGAACTGCTGCAGAACAGACGAGTGATTAAGCATTTAGCCAAGTGCATAGAGGCCATCCCTGTGTCAACAGGAAGTGGTTTCAGAGAAGTACATGCCTGTTCCTGGGTCTGGTGAAACGTCAGGGGATAATCTTAGCATGTGCAGGACTTCTTGGTGAGGAAAACTAAAAACATTGCTGAAAAAGTTAAAAGGAGACTTAAATGGGAAAACATGCTGTGTCTTCTTCAGGAGAATATTATGAAGATTTCACTTCTTACCAAATTGATTTTAATACTTAGTGCTATTTTAATCACAACCTCAGTGTGATTAAAAATCAAATAATTGATTAGGAAAAAAGGATGAAGATAAAATGGGCTAAGTAAGATTTTAAAATATATTTTAAGGAAGAAAAACTGACCCTTGCAAGTTATTATGAAATTTGAAGCTAAATTGTTTAAACCAGCAGCTCAAGCTAGAAGAACTGGCTGGTGGGGCAGGAGGCGTGGGGTGTGGGGTTAGTGGGTAAATTCGGTTGCCCAGTATAGACTTTGGTTTGTTTAAGAATTAATGTACACTGAAGACCCACAAACTGAGTTAGGGCGAGAGTGCTTAGGGGAATTGGCACAGTTGGCCAGAGTTTTGAAAGATAGTTAATCCTCATTGTATCATGTATCAATATAACACCCAGAGGGAATAATAATCCAATGTAAAACACTAGCTGTGTGTGTGGCTTAGTGGCTACACAGGCATATGCGTGTGAGGCCCTTGGTTCCATCCTTAGCACAGAAAAATAAACAAAACACTAGGACAAAGACCTGTGTGCCTGACCTGTGTCAGGTTTGTGCTTAGACACATTGGTGGGAGTCCGCCATGAGCCTGGGACCACGGAGCATAGGTGGGCTTGGCACTGGGGGAAGGCACCGCTGGAGAGGGCTTAAGGAGGCTGAGACCCCAGGAGAGACGGGGCCAGGTGAGGCAGGGGATGGGGGAGCCCAGCAGAGACGGCTGAATGGCCTGGAGGACGTGGAGGGACCAAAGGCACCGCTACCCTGGATGGAGAGCTGAGCTGTAGCAGCAGGACATGCAGCTCCCAAGTAGCTCCGGGACAGCTTTAAACAGGTGGAGGGACCATGTAAGCCTGACTCCACTGCATGTGTCAAGGGAGGGGCGCGTGCACGCGTGCGTGTGTGTACACGTGCGCACTTACACATGCATACGAGTAGTGTATTGGAAAGAAGTGAGACATTCAGGTGGTAGGCTGAGTGTGAGGTGCTGGTTACTGGAGGAGGAAGGGCTGGTGCCCAGCTCATAGCCTTTTCCTGGGCACTGTGAGTGGTACCTCCAGCCCTTTATCTCTGGTATTTTTATCTCTTTGATTTACTGATGTATTCCCTAGCCCCTGTAAATAGTGACTGACCCCTGGTAGGTGCTCATTATGTATTGACTAAGTGAGCAGGTGAAGGATGCCTTCCCGTTGTTTTGGGCTTAAGCAGCTGGTGGGTGGGGCTGTTTCCTATTATTGGAGCACTGAAAAAGGAGCATGTATGGAGGAAGACACAGAAAGTGATGGCCTGGGGTGTTCCATGGAGGAAGATGTAGCCTTCCCTTTCTGTGTCATGTGCATGTGAAAACTAATCAGAGAAAGTCAGGATGACAGAGAGTGGCCATATAAATGTGAATGGACAATTTACAAAGGTGAGAGATACATATAGTGAAAACATACTTGAAGAAATATTTACCTTCACAATATGGAAGAGTGAAACTAAATCCACAGGATGGTTTTCCTCATGAAATGGTAAATGATTGTAAATAATAATTTGTGCAATTTTGCAAGGGATCTGGCAGAACACACCAAGTGCTTTAAGCTGTTATGTCTTCTGATCAGATCTGTTTCTGGAGATTCATGGTAAGGAAACTGAGAACAGCTGCTCCTGCCACAGTAGCTGGAGGCTTGGGCGCGGGGAGAGGTGAGTAGGCTAGGCAGCCCCCGAGTCCTTGTTGATGTGTTTCTGTTGTGCTTCCAGATGAAGACAGTCAGCGTGGCCTTAGTTCTGTGCCTGAATGTCGGTGTGGACCCTCCTGACGTGGTGAAGACCACGCCTTGTGCCCGCTTAGAGTGCTGGATCGGTAAGTTCCAGTCTTCCTTGTGCTGCTGGGTAAATCCCAGGATTTTCTTTCTTTTCAGAGTTATGTAATCTCTAAGTGATTTTAGATGCATTCACTTTTATTTTGTAGCAGAGAAAGTGTTTCAAGGAAAATTGATAAAATAATGATTATTTTTCCCTTTAAATTTGCCCTGCATTTGGCACACAAAATAGCTACATACATTTTTAAAAAATTGAATGATGATACTGCTTGTATTTACAGAAAAAGCAAATTGAGCCATTTCCAGCAAAGAATCACATGAAACACTGTAGCTCATTGTTGGTATCTGCTGAGTGCTCATGGTGTGAACTGTTTTAATCTCCCCAACCCTGTGTGGTAGGTTCTATCACTGAGCTCCAGTTCAGAGATGAGGAAGAGGATACATAGAGATGAGAGCTTGTTCAAAGTTGTCCTGTGCGTAAGTGGCAGAGCTGGGATTGGAACCCATACAAAGTCTAGAGACGGTTCATTTTTTGTTTTCTGTTGTGGTATAAAGCATGCATACTGTGAAGCACTATCCCAGCCTTGTTGAAGTATGGGGTCCGTGGCACAGGCACATTCCACGGTTGGGCAGATATGACCACCATCCACTTCCAGAACCTTTTCACCACCCCGAGCCAAAACTGTTCCCATTACATAGTTCCCCAGCACCTCCCAACCCCAATTTCACTCTGGCTGTATAGTTGGACCACTCTAGGGACTTCAGATCAGTGTCATCATATGATATTTGCCTCTGCTTCTTCTTCTTCTTTTTTTTTTTTTTTTTTGCTGTGTGTCCAGGGCCTTCCACATGCAGGCAAATGCTCTTTTCCTCTGAGCTACATCCCAGCCTGCTTATCTCACTTGGCATAGGATCTTCAGGTTCATTCATGCCGTGTCAGGTAACAGAATCTTCTTCCTAAGGCTGAATGATACTCTGTTGGTGTCTGTTCTGCCACATTTTGTTTAAGCATTTATTCATCAATAGACTTTTTTTTTTTTTTTTTAGTCTTTTTTAGTTGTAGATAGACACAGCATCTTTATTTATTTACTCTTGTGTGGTGCTGTGGTGCTGAGAATCAAACCCAGTGCCTCACATGTTCTAGGCGAGTGCTCTACCACTAAGCTACAGCCCCAGCCCCATTAATAGACTTTTAAATGGTTTCTACCTTTTAGCTTTCCTCACAATAGTGTTTAGCTATTGTGAATAACGCTGCTGTGAACATGGTGTACAGGTATCTGCTTTTGATTCTGTTGAGTTAGTCCCAGAAGTAGGGTTGCTGCATCACATGGTGATTCTGTGCTTAATTTTTGAGGAGCTGCCATGCTGTTTTCCTTAGAAGTGGTGCCATTTCCATCACTTCCAGCAATGCGCAAGGGTCCCAGTTACTCCACGTACTTACTGTTTTGTGTTTGTGATGTAGGCATCCTAGTGGGTGTGAGGTGGTATCTCATGGAGGTTTTGATTTGCATTTGAGTGATTGGTGATGGTGAGTATCTTTTGATGGGCTTATTGGCCATTTGGATACTTCTCTGGAGAAATATCTATTCAGTCCTTAACCTATTTTTGAATTGAGTTTTGTTGTTGTAGGAGGTTTTTATTTTCTGGATATTAGTCCCTTGTGATTTGCACATATTTTCTTCCATCAGTGACAGTGTTTTTCACCATTACACAATGTATCCACTTTCCCCCACTTTAGTATCAGGTTTATTTGGAAACCATTTATATATAGTAAAATTCACCTTTTTGAATGTAATATATTTCTCTGAGCTTTAACAAAAACATATAGTTGTGTGACAAATACTACGGTCAATGGATAGAATATTTTCATCATATCGAAAGAATTCCCTTGTGCCCTCTTTCCTTAGCTCTGGCAGCCAGCCCTGGTCTTTGTGCCTGCCTTGCCCTTCCTCAGAATGCCGCTTCAGGGACCATGCAGTTTGTCCTTTTGAGCCTCGCTCCCTTCGCACCTCAGAGTGTGTGGCAGAGCAGCCATACTGCTGCGCTGGGAGTGTGACATAGCCTGTCCTGTTTGTCCCACTTGTATGGAGATGCCACACTTTGTTGACCTGTTCATCCGTTGATGGAGCTTTGAGTTGTTTCCAGTTCTTGGCAGTTATGAATAAAGTTTCTGAAAGTACTTAATCTTTGTATGGACTTTTTTGGGGGCAGATATTTATGATGGGATTATCAGGTCACATGTTAAATTGTGTTCGTTCCTTGAGAAACTGTCCAGCTGTTTTGTACTGTACCATTTTGCATTCCTGGTGTGTGTATGATTGCTCCACGTCCTCACTAGCACTCAGGAGGGTTTTGAAGAGTGAGACTAAAGATGTCTTTTCTGTTCCTGCTCCCATTTCCCATGTGGGGGCTGTGCATCCCTAGCCAAGGTCAGGTTTCCCTCTGGTGTCCCAGTCATTCTGCGGGAAGAGCTTCCTTTAACATTGCTTGCAGTATGGTCTGAAGGAATTAAATTTGTCCAGATTTTTGTTTGAAAATTCTTTATTGTCAAAAGCTGTTTTTTCTTCTTATAGTTTTGTGTTGAGATTTTTCTTTCAGTATTTGGAAGTAGCCACTCATCTTCTGGTGGCGTGGTTTTGGATGAGAAGTGTGCTATAATTCTGGTCTTGGTGGCTGGCTTCTGGTTAGGTTTCCCATCCTCTGCCTCCGGCAGTCTTCGGGATTTCCTTTTTACCTTTAGATTTTGGGTAGACTGTCGGTGACATATCTGCTTTTGTGCTTGTTTGGTTTTTGGAATTTGTTCTTCTTGGGGTTCTTTGAGCTTTTTGGATGTGTAGCTTGATATCTTTATTTTTGCAATAAACTCCAGTCATTATCTTTAAAAACTTTTTGGTACTGGAGATTAAGCCCACTGCTTTTACCTGTCCTGCAGTAGTCAGCCTGTCTGGTATCAGTGCAGAATTCTGTGCCCCAGGTGTTTTCTGCCTCTGCTCCAAGTGGACCTTTTTCTCAGTTGTCTTTGTCTGAATTCTGGGAGTTCTCTATCCCGCCCCAAGTAAGACAGGCCTCGTCTCCACTCCTTCCCCAGTGCCCAGGGCCTGAGCCTGTGCTCTGTGCACAGGTTCTCCTGCTTCTCGCCTCAGGGATTCAGGCTAGGGGGACTTTACTCTGCGCTTTTCACAAGCCACTGGAGTGGCCCGTGGGGATGGGAGCTCCCCTTGTTCTGGGACCCCTACCTATTCCAAACTGCCATGCTGGCCCCCCCCCTGTGTGTATATGGTTCCATTTTGGCTGGTTTCTTCCAGGTAGAAATAATGCATGAGTCCTGTCTCTCTGGGAGGATGATAGTCTCATGGAATTCAGTTGATTTCACTGTGGTCTCAGCTTCCTGGTGAGCACAAGACAAGTTTGATATTGATTATGCAGGTTTCTCTGCATGGTAGGATTGGGGCAAACTCATCCTCACCCAGCTTTTTATATCCTCAGCTAAAGAAGTTCATTACTTTAATGAAAATTATATGTAATCCAAGTTGGAAAAATTATTTTTCCTTCTTTATTTGCATGTCTCCTTACCTCACTGTGTCTTGGATGGCAGTCACTAGCCTTTGCCCAGGCCCTGTTGCCCTGCACCCACCGACAGAGTAGCCGTCTTCCTCAGCTACTGCTGTCCCTTGCTGATGGTGCTGCTGCATGTCGACTTCTTACTCACCACCCCAGCTATTTCCACTCCAAGAATCCTTTGTCCCAGCTGAATTTATTCAGTCTATTTTTGTTCTGTCCCTCTTCAACTTCTCTTATGTTAGCGTTGCTCACCTGGGTTGCTATGTGCCTTGCAGGGGACGTATGGCCCCACTGGGATGCATAGGTGGGGGGGTGTCTGAGGACAGAATCACATTTCTTGGACCAAGGGACTTTGGTTTTTATTAGATACTTTAGAGTTCTTTCATATGTACTCTCCCCAAAATCCAGAGAGCCCTCTTCCATAATCTCTTTGATCAAGATTTACTGGATGTTAATGAAAAGGAAAGAATTCCTTTCCTTTAGTGTAAAAATTCAGCAAATGAATATATATTTAAATATTGTGTTTATTTTTTTCCCCTACAATTTAGGAATATAGTCTACTTTGTAATAATTTCAAAGGAGTTTTTTTTTTTTTTTGGTACTGGGGATTGAACTCAGGGTCACACAACCACTGAGCCACATTCCCATCCCTATTTTGTATTTTATTTAGAGACAGGGTCTCACTGAGTTGCTTAGGGCCTTGCTTTTGCTGAGGCTGGCTTTGAACTCACTATCCTCCTGTCTCAGCCTCCCAAGTCGCTGGGATTATAGGTGTGTGCCACTACACTGGGCTCAAAGGAGTTTTGAGTTCAGAATGGCATGTGCTTTTTCTAGGCTGAAATTTTTTCATTTGTCCTTTATTAAAAAGTGGGTAGACCTGGTCCTGGTGATGACGATGTTAACAATGTGGTATGAGAAATAAAGAACCCTAAAGATTCGCTTTAGCACATTTGCAGTGGTGTCTGGCAGTATGCATTTTATTTTGAAAGCAAGTTTCAAAAGTTGCAAGTAGAGTAGTGAGCAGTTTCCCTGGTTCATTGGAATAAGTTGCTGTCCTATCACCTCTGATTCTTTTTTGGTGCTAAGGATTGAACCCAGGGTACTTTACCACTGAGTAAATCCCAAACCTTTTTTTAAAATTTGTATTTTGAGACAGGATTTCACTAAGTTGTTTAGGGAGGGCCTCACTGAGTTGCTGAGGCTGGCCTTGAACTTGTGATCCTCCTTCCTCAGCCTCCCAAGTTGCTGGGATTATAGGCATGCGCCACTGTTCCTGGCTCACTTCTGAAATCTTTAATGTGTAATTCCTGCAAATGGATTTTCTTGTTCAGAATCACAGTGCAATCCTTGGGATCAAGCACTGGTGGGCGGTGGCTGCCACAGAAGCCTTGGCTTGTTCAGGCTTGCCAGTGGCCCAGTGCCATCCTTGGTAGCACAGGGGCCTGCTCAGTGTCGTGGTTGCCTTAAACGTGTTCTAACC